TGAGATGGCTGCTACTTGTGCTGGGCTTGGAGATTCTCAGGCGAGACCTAGCTGTGAATCTAATCTGGCTGCTGCTAGGGCTCACTGATGCCAGCTGTTGCTTGTTTGATAGGATTTAGGAGCCAAGACCAGCCATTCATATGAAGAAGCAGCTTGGGTAGACCTGTAAGTTGGATGTGACAGAACCTCTGTTGATCTCCAAGGCTGGACAGTTAGCCAGGTTGATGGAGCCTTCCATATGGCACCAGCTTGCCCATGAGTTGTGGGGAGGGTTTGGCAAAGGAACAATGGCCTTTGCTCACCTCGATGCCAGACACTTCGGTCTCTCCCAGTATATCACTGGTACCTTTCAAGCTGCTACCCTAGCACTGGAGCTCAGAGGGAGTTGAGTCTGAGTAGATGCATCTGTGTGTGGGTTCTTTAAGAGGAACTGCTTGAGACTCCAGAAGTTTCCTCCTCTGACTCAATCCCTGCTGGTTTTTGCAGACAGAAGTTGTGGAGACTTACCATCCTTGCACTGGAACCCTGGGCTGGGGGGACCTGGTGTGGGTCTGGGACTCCTCGCTCCTGAGATCTCCCTCTCAAATTTTTATCCATGTGGGTGTGGGATCAGCCCGTACCTTGTTGCACCCCTTCTTCCAGTCTGCATGGATGTGGTTTCTTTAATTCCGTAGTTGTCAGATTTCCATTCGGCCCAATTTCTGACATTCCTGGGTGATGGTGGTTCTGTATTTTAGATGTAATTTTGATATGGTTGTGTGAAGAGGTGAGCCATGTCTGCCTAAACCAGGGGTGTCAAATTCATTTTCACCAGGGCCCACATCAGCATCACGGTTGCCTTCAAAGGGCTGAAATAATTTTAGGACTGTATAAATGTAACTACTTCTGTTAAAGAATTGAAATTTCATTTGGCCCTTTGAAGGCATCCACAAGGCTGATGTGGCCCCTGGTGAAAATGAGTTTGACACCCCCAGCCTACACCCTGTGTGGCCATTTTAATGAAGAGGGAAGAAAATGCTCAACATTTTTGGCGTGTTATGCTTTATTGTTTCTAGAAAGGTAAAAATGTAACTGAAAGGCAAAAAAAATTGTGCATTGTATGGAAAAGGTGCCGTGACTGATTGAACATGTCAAGAGTGGTTTGCAAAGTTTTATGCTGGAGATTTCTCCTTGTACGATGCTCCACAGTTGAGTAGACCAGTTGAAGTTGATTGCGATTAAATCAAGACATTAATTGAGAGCAATCAACTGAGGGAGATAGCCAATATACTCAAAACAGATCAGTAAATTTATAGGTGGAATGGAAAATGTATAATTTTACAGAAAAAATTAAATGGACTTTTTGGTCAACCCAGTATTTTCTTCTCTTTTCCCTGAAACTAATAGTTCCCAATTACAAAATGCCCTGAATCAACTGAAGGTAATCAACTGAATTGGAAGAGCTCAAACAACTGGACAATGTTTATGTGCTAAGGAAGTGAAACCAGTTTTTCAGATTCAAAGCTAATATTCTCTCAATAGTAATAAAAATGTGTTTCTTTTTAGAATACAGAATACAAAGGAGAGTATTGGGCAGAACATCCTACAATAAAAATATTTTGGGAAGTATTTCATGAATTGCCATTGGAAAAGAAAAAACAATTTCTGTGTAAGTATTTCTAACTATTCTGTTTCATGAGAGTGCAGTTTAATTATTAAGTTAGTCCCATAGGAGATTGATTCACTTTGGTGGATAGGTTATTTTTTATATTATTCCAAGGTCTTGTTCATTGTGTTTTGCCTTCAGAATAGAATTGGTTCTTTCAAATGAAAACTGTAATATTGATAACAATGTACTAGAGTTGGAATTACTCCTTTTAGAAAAAGATCTTTCTTCAGTTTTCATTCTTTTTCTCTTTATTTCTACACCAAAAATTTGGGAATTTCTGCAGAAAATGGAACATTTGCAGGACTTGGCTCTCTTGTAACAGTCTTTTTTTAAAAATCTATTAAAATGTGTATACTAATTAAAATTTCAGATTTTTAAATAAAGCTGTCAGAATTCATGTATCTAAATGATTGACGTGCCCCTTGATACTCCTTCTATTGGCAGAATATTTTTGTCTTTTCTTGATAACTGAAAAGAGAATCTTGGTTAAATTACTTTGCATATTCTAAGGATGACAAGTCATTCTTAAGTGATATGAGTTCTGACTGCTGGTTACAAATGTTTGTCTAGCCCTGGCTGGTGTAGCTCAGTGGATTGAGCGCAGGCCTGCGAACCAAAGGATCACAGTTCGATTCCCAGTCAGGGCACGTGCCTGGGTTGTAGGCCAACAGGGGATACACCACAGGCAACCATACATTGATAGTTCTCTCTCCTTCCCTTTCCCTCTAAAGATAAATAAAAAAATAAAAAATCTTTAAAATAATAAACAAATGTTTGTTTGTCTAAAAAGGACTTGTCACCCTGGCTGGTGTGGCTCATAGGATTGAGCACTGGCCTGTGAACCTGAAGGGTTGCAGATTTTCTTCCCTGTCAGAGCACAAGCCTGAGTTGCAGGCCAGGTCCCGGTTGGGGGCACGTGAGAGGCAACCGATCAGTGTCTCTCTCCCTTTCTCCCTTTCTTCCCTTTTCTCTAAAAATAAAATCTTAAAAAAAAATGACTTGTCAAAACAAATAGAAAATCATGATCCAGACTGCATTTTATATTTGATTTACAAACTAGTTCTAAACTGCTATTCCCAAAAGAGCTCCCAAAACATTTTTATCAGGGACAATAGTCATTCATTCATCAAACATTTATTAAACATCTTTAAAAAAATATTGTGTGGATATGGAACAAAATTTGTTCAAATTCTGGAGGTAGGCTTCCACATTAGCGCAAATGTCAGTGGAAAGCTTTGCTATAGTGACCATTGAAAACAGCATACATACATGTATATACTTTTTCTTTTTAAATAAAAGTGGTTGGCTGAAATGTTTTTTTTTTTCTTGGCAGTATTTTTGACAGGTAGCGATCGTATTCCTATTCTTGGTATGAAGAGTCTAAAACTAGTCATCCAGTCAACAGGAGGTGGTGAGGAGTATCTCCCGGTTTCACATACCTGTTTTAATCTTCTGGATCTTCCAAAATATACAGAGAAAGAAACTCTGCGCTCTAAACTGATCCAAGCTATTGATCACAATGAAGGCTTCAGTTTAATATAACTTTGGCGTTATAACTGTTCAGTTTACTGCAAAAGCATTAAACTGTTGTGTTTTTCTTGTGGGGAATGAATTCAGTGAGGTGACAGAGGACGGGTACTATTTTAATTCTTACTTGCAAAATGTTCAGTGCTATAACTATTCATGAAAGCCAAGAAATATTAAAGGAAAAGTACACATTGCGTTAATATTAAACTTACTGTACAGAACCATGGATTTTTTTTGCCATCTACCAATAAACATTCAAGTATTGTGAATATATGGAAGTTTTACTAACATGAATTTTAAGAGTTTGCATATTTCACAAATGATCTGACGTATGAGTGCATGGAAATGTTGCTTGATTTTTCTTCAATCACTGGGTGAAAAACCGTTAACCTTGGCCTGCAATAGTCATTTGATTATTTTTTCATTTTGTAAATAATGTTAAGTTTTGTAATAAAATAGTTACGTTCTGATACCAGTACAGTTTCTATGGTTGTAATTGAACTGAACTGACTTTTAAGGGTTAAAAATTATGATTTAAATCTTATTCTGAGAACTTTAAAAGCAAAAAATTAGCATGGTGAAAACAATCTTTGCTTTTTTGCTAGAATAAATGTCCTTGTGCAAACCTAAATTATGGATAATAGTTATCTAAATAACCTGTAGTTCTTTCCTGTTGTGATAGATGGGAGGTTATCAGAAAGCCTAATACTTAGTAATGGAAGAACTTTGTCCTACAATTGCCAGCAGTAGAAACATTGGCTACTATGACAACCAATCACTGGCTTACAGGTTTTAAAACTATTGATGCTGCACACTAGTAGGTAGTTAGAATTTTCAGTGCTTTAGAACTCTTTCCTTGAATTTTTAAGAAACAAATCTTAGCAATTTTATGGTGCTGATGCTTAGTTATCTCCTGTCATTAAATTGTAACAGTTGATGCAACACATGTGACTTTCTGCTATAATGCAAATATTTATTTTTTAAATTTATAAAAATATGCTGTGAAAACTGTTCAAATAATAAAGATTTATTGGTTTAATATTTAAATTTTCAGTGATTCTCATACAAGATTCACAATTCTTTAAGAGTAATGTCTCAGGGAAGGTCTCTTAAATTTTGGATTGTTTCCATCCCCATACAACTTAATCTAGTTTATAGAGGTCCCCAGGACTTACAGCTGTAATTCCAAAATCTAAAACAACCCTTGAAAAAAAAGTGCACGTCTCATTTTATAGCAAAACTTGGTTTGAATTGTTGTAGTTATTTATGGGATTAAAGGGGATTGTCTGTACATCTTATTGCGGCACTATTAATGTGATAACTTGTCTTTGATTTAAATGCTGCCTCAGACCTGTATGGGGTGCTCCATAATATATGTGATTTAAAAGATTTTTTAACATTCATAATTCTAAAATGTGAGCCCAGGGTTTTTGGAGAAATTGTGTACCTGTACTTTTTAGTAGTCTAACCTAAAAACTTCTACTGGTGAGCCATAAGTGTCTTTTTATATAGATGTCCCTAAAACAGTATTTTCACCTTAGGTAATTTTCCTCAAAATGGCATTCTTCCGTATGAAACTTATTCCATGTACTTCATATTAATGCTATTTCCCTGTGCATCCTTTCCTCGAGAGTAGTGATTGTTCACATCAAAAAACATGTATGTGTGTTCCAGGTGCTATTTTGTTCTTTAGTAACCTCAGTATGCTGTGAAACTAATCTGTGAATTAGCAGTCACTTTGGATCAATACAGGTGGAGTACACTGAACAAATATTTTAATAAGGACCTGGCATCTTGTCTGGAAACCCAGCAGGACAAGGTTTAATTTGGTAAGTCTGATACTCTTTTTCCTCCCTTTGTTGCTGCAGATACACAATAATATTAACAAGGAAATTAGTGGTAGAAAATTAAAATCACTGATAATTTTTCAAATCCCCATTTGCATTTTAAAGCTACTAGAAAAATACCTTGAGCTTTGTAGACCAGTATAGAAAGTAGGCAAATAGTTCACACTAAATTTTAAGGACGGTGATTATAGAGGTGGTTAAAGTTGAAAATATTTAGTCTTCTCACATTTAAGAGCAATCATCTTTGTAGCTCCTGTCCTCAGCAGTAATTTTAACCAATAACCATTGTTCAGACTTGAGAAAGCAGTAGAATTGGCATGAAATAAAACCAGGATGCAGGTTTTAAACAAGAGTACCAGCCTTCACCACAGGGTCCATGCATAAAAAAAAAGCACTATTCATGGGGTTCATTTCTACTAACAATCTTTTGGGTTTCCTGATATGATTTCATTGCATTTAGTTTAACAAAAAGTCCTAAATCAAAGTACAGGGTCTGGCAGAATTAAAGCCTGCTGAGTGTGGTTGGCAGGGTAATGATACGGGTATAATAATCTGTAGTTTTAGTTTGAACATTTCACTGAAAATGTTGAATGTTGCCACTACAGAATTACATGCTTATGATTTTGTAATAAAAAAGGGGGGTGTTACTTGTGTCAGACCCTGTATAATATGCATAGAGTAGTCTTGCCCTGAAGAGCATACAGTGAGCCCTCTGAAAGCAAGAGAAAAGTGTTCCTGTTCTCAGCCTCTTCTCCCCAACCTTTTGTACTTTGGTCACCCAAACTCATGGTAGTTTTGTCCTTTTTGCTAAAGAATTCACCCTATTTCAATAGCCACTCTTGCCAGTACTAATTAATGAACTATTTCTAGAGATAAATTGGGAATGGAGTGTCTTATGTAAATTGACCTTCCTGTTACGCCATGGTAACTTCCCTATTCCTTTCTCAACCCTTGCTATACTTTTAAATCACCTGAGGTCACTTTTAACACCATGCACAACCCCCACCTTATGCCAATTAGGTCTCTCTCTCTCAAGATGCTGCTCAGTAGGTTATATATACTTTTAAGTTCCCCGTTGAGAGCTGCTCCATATTTCTATCATCCTAGCTTGAGTTTAAGGCTTAGATTTAATTCATTTTTGAGTAGAGACATTTTGGTGTGCTTACCACATTCCCCTTTTAAATTACAAGTCTAGGAGTTGATTGAGCCTTGTTTCAAATAAATAACCAAGTAATGCTTAATAGGTAGACGATGTAAAACACCACTGACTGAAGGAACACTTACTTTATAACATCTGAGGTTGGTATTTTGCAGGTAATTTTTCTAGTGCAAGCAGGATATAGCAAGGCAGAATACTTTAATTCACTTCAAAAGTTTGTGGGGGGTGGAAGGCAGGAGACCTGAGAGTGGTTAAGGTTAATTCATTGCATATATTTTTAAAGTGGTATGTTCCTATTCCTGGCCTCTTGAGTAGTAGTACTTGGAAAGAATTTCAGTGGAGTAAGTAGGTATCCGGTCATTCTCAAAAAGTTCATACCCAATATGGTCTGTAGTCATTTTTTTGCCCATTCCTTATTGCATGAAGATTTGGAAGATCTAGGGACCAGGAGACTAATTTCACAAAAAACCTGGATGCTTTTATAACATGGGCTCTGAATTCACTACACTTGCACCATTTTTTTCTGCCCACCCCAAAGTCTTTATATAACAAGTTTTTCTTAGGCCCTGCCTTTTCTCCACATTTTTATGTGTTAAGGCCCTCCAACCTAGAAGGGCTGAAATACAATGTTGCAACTTTTCATGATGTACCAATTGCTACAATTGTTTGCTTAAGTACCATTCTGGTTTGACAGTTATAAACTAAATGAAGAAATTTACTATGAAAAGAAGCATCTAGTAAAAAAGCCCTCAAAGCTGTACAAATTCTGGAAGATTTAAAAATTTTATAACTTAAAAAATGTAAGTTAATGGGAAAAAGGTCAAATGACAATTTTAATAGACTTTAAAACAGTGTACAAGTATAAAACACTGGTTTTGTATTTCAAAAGTTGGAGGAAGATACCCAGTCATTAAACAGTCTACAAAACATATGCCAGTAGATTACATAAAAGACTATGTACAATATAAAAAGAGCTGAAAACAGTCTTCACTGTAAAAATAATTTAAAACAAATTTTTCAATTTAAAATATTGTATCTATAGCACAAACACATCATGCAAATGAAAAACTAAATATACTGCATTCTTTAGTGTAGCCAAATTCAGATTGAGACAAATAGGTAGGGAAGTGGCCATTCAATAAAATTTTTTTCTCTGGCAATAATGGTCCTAGCTGGATTTTATACTTAAAGAACAGCTACATTTTCAGTCTTTTTAAAAATTGTAATAAACACCAAAGCAACATATACTTTATAATTGTGGAGTAATGTTGGGAAAAGTCAAAAATAAATGTTTAGTGTGCAATTTTATAAAGTATGAACTTTGAAAGGCTAAAAGCTTCTGCAGCTGAAAAAGTTGATCTCTAGTTTTAAGGCAAGCTAAGCTTTTAAATAAAGACACAAATAGGAACTAACTTCATTCTGTAACTATTCTATTACAAGTAATTATTCTGCTATTACAAGTTACGTCATGTTTATCTCCACAAACTAGGCTAGCAGTCTGGTGTTTATTGCACCAAATACCCCCAACAGGAGACATGTACTTACTGGCTGAGTTACATACTACTTTGGAACCATACTCCAGGACCCGTCACTCTCCTCATTCGTGGAGAAAAGCAACAGTCCATAATATTACACTCTCCCCAAAGTACCATTATTATAGATCATAAAGGTTTTTGCATATTCACATTTTGGCAGTTTAATACTTGTGGAAAAGGATCAATGTAAGCTCTACCACAGTGATAGATATTTAAACAACAATGGCAAAAATTCTCAAAACTAAGGGGACTCAGGCAGGCACTATTGTTTCTAAAGCAACTGAAACATTTCCAAAGCATTTATTTGTTTTACAGGTTGGTTTTATGAGCCAATATAGACATTTCTACATGTCCACAGGAAGTACAAAAGCCATCTTCACTTGAACAATACAGTATTCCTGAAACTCTTAGCACCAAGTCTTACTTTAAAAAACAAAGACAACTGAGTGCTCTCCCACATATTGTTGACTTCCTTCTACTCACATTGCATGTCATGAGATTTTTTTTAAAAGTTAGCTGCCACAAGTTTTGGAAAATGCCAGTGTTTAAAAATAGGTAATTGTGCTAATAAAGAATCAAAAGTTTAGCAGAACAGATTTGAGAATTTCAAACCATTCAATGTTAACAAAGAAAAATGTGAAAATACCATTCTTTGGTCTAGATAAGCTGTTCCCTTTACATTAATTTAACATTCCAATGGCTTTTTGAAAACTTTAAAATGTTGAAACTCACTAAGCAAAATGTATAAACAAAATTATATATACATATGGGTGTATCATACAAACGAACCTTCAAAAGAAAATCTTGACCAAGAGCAGATTAAAGATACATAGTACCTTTCTTTAAAAAAAAAAAAAAAAGTTAGTGTTGAGTGTACAAGTACAGAAATAAGGAAGGTAAAAATTACCCATAGGAAAAAAAACAATCTATTTTACTAGTCTATAAATATCACACCTTTCTGGTTTCCTTTGATCTATCGTGTTCATGAGTAAACATTCCTTTTGACATGCTAAGTTCCTAATGCTGGTGGAACAATTCCTGTACCTGGACAACTACTACATTATGATTTGTTTGACTGATAGTTAATGTCTGTTGCTTCCTGTTTTGTAGATACAGCATCATTAACTGCCTCCTGATCAACTCCATCAGCTCCAAACTCTGTTTCTCCAGCTCTCTCATTAATATCAGCATCATCTTCCAAACCATTGTAAAATTCTTCAATCTCACTTTCGTCCTCCATGGGTTCTTCTAAACTTGGACTCTGGCATGTTCCACTATCACTATTACTGCCACAAGAACTAGAGGATAAGACGTCATCTTCAGAGTCTGAATAAACCTCAGCACCATGGAAAATATAACGATTTGGTGGTAAAAACAGATACTGATTACCTGTAATACAGTAATAAAAGAAATGTTATTTTAGTTTTGTAAGACTAACTTGATTTTATTGGGCAGTCTGGATTAAGTGTAGGTTCCAGGTCTCTTTTACCTGAGTAGTATTAGCAGATGCTACTATTACTACAATGATGTTCAAAAACAAGTTATAGACTCAGTACTGGATGGAAGACTTAGTTCTGCTACTCACCAGAGCTTTGTAAATTTGGACAGTTATCTCTCTGCCTTAATTTCCTCATCTGGAAAAAAATAATTTCAACAACCCTATGAGGTGAATGCAGAGAACCATGTTCAATGAAGGTTACTTCACCAACTCCTTTGAACAGATCTGATGAGATAAAGTATCCAGCCTATTCTGTACTAGATACCTAATTCATGTTAACTGAGTATAACTTCTCTAAAGCACATATGCTTTCCAAGCATCTTTATTAATGTTTTTATTTACCTTTGCCTATTATAAACCTAAGAATACTTTGTTAATAGGTTTCACCACCTATTCAAAGTAATTGGGTTGGCCAAAAGTTCGTTTGTTTTCTTCCATAAGATGGCTCTACTAAGCATTTAGTTGTCTGTAACTACATGCATAACAATTTTGTTAGATTGCACTGCGACACCTGTCCTATCAGCATGCATTTAAAGAAAACATCAAAAGTGGTGAATTTTTGTGCAGCCATTTTAATATTGAAGGTGGAAGAAAATATGCAACATTTCTGGCACAATTATGCTTTATTATTTCAAGAAAGAAAAACAACTGAAATGCAAAAATAAATTTGTGCAGTATATGGAGAAAGTGCTATGACTGATCGAACATGTCCAGAGTGGTTCACAGAGTTTTGTGCTGGAGTTTCTCTCTCCTTGGACAATGTTCCACGATTGGGTAGACCAGCTGGAGTTGATAGCAATCAAATCAAGACATTGAGAACAATCAACATTCTACCATGAGGGAGATGGTAGCCAACATGCTCAAAATACCCAAATCAATAAAGTTATTGGTGAAAATGAAAAATGTGTCTTATTTTACAGAAAAAAAACTAAACAGACTTTTTGGCCAACCTGATAGTCTATAGGCACTGGCATCGCCGGACAGTTTGTTACAAATTTAAATTCTCAGGAGTCCTGTTCCACCTACTGAATCAGAATCTATTTTTGTAAGAGTTCTAATACACATTGAAGTGAGAGAGAGGAGCACTCACCTAGCAGTGGATTTTAAGCTTTTGCCCCAACCCCTCCCAAATCACAGTATGAGGTTTGACTTTTAGTAAGAAAAACTCCCCACCCCCAAGCCATAGGGACTCTAGGTCAAGAGCACCTCCTCTAAGATGTTCTAAAGAGCATCAATTTGCATCTGTCAATACTAATAAAGTTTTAAAAGTCCCAGGTTGGTCAAATTTGGTTTGGGTTTAGCTGCTTTTGTTTACATTGTAATTTTTAACTAAACATTAATGATGAAATGTTTTCTACCTTTAAATTCACAAAAGCCTGACTACTACATAATATATCTGCAGTGATATGCCATCTGCCAAGCATACCTTAGCTTCTCTTTAAAAAGGTTTTCAAACTTTTTCCTACCCCATAATGAGCCAGTTGTCAATGAAACAACCTAAATGTTGACAATTATGATCAGAAGCCCAAAACTGTTTTCACAATCCCCTAATATATATATCACAAGTTACAATGTAAAAACCACTTTTTTCTTCGGTTTCAGAATAGGATCCTTCAGTTTTCTAGACTACTAGTATTAATTTCCATGATCAGAGGAGAGAATCAAGAACTTGTATTACAGCTGCTAACAGAGAACCCCATCTGGTACCTCCCAATAGGGCCATCTGAATCATACCTACTCAGTCTTTTAAGGGGTCCCAGATCCTAGCACGTGGTTGTCCTGAACTTTTCAACAATTTGGTACATGTTTCTTTGAAAAATGCCTTACTCTGCTCTGGGCTCTCACAAAAACTGAATCATCTTCACAGTCCAAGCAACCTATGCTTGTTTTGCCTTCTTCTTGGCAACAACCGTAACAAATTTAGTTTTACCACACATGTGCTCCCACTTCTCCTTTTCAGCCCTGACCTCGAAACATAAATGGTGGCGAACTACAACGAGTTGAGTCAAGTCAGGAGGCTACTTGGTTTTAACAGCTACAACTTTATCTTCTTTCCATCAGTTATCTTTAAATTTTCACAATGCTGTGAAGTATGTGCTGTTTTATTTTCATTTTACTGATGTAAAAGGTGAGAGATCAAATGACTTCACCTAAGGTAGACCTGAGACAACTTGGGTCTAATTCCAAAGCCTGTACTTCAAAGGATAAATTGGTAAAGTGAAAATATAATACCAAAGAGAGTTCTCCAGATTTAACCTCTGTTCACTGGGGCGAAGAATTTTTTATCCATCAAAAAAAAAAAAATCCCCAGTGCAAAAACCTTTCATTGCATACGTAGACTCTGTAATATCAGGGATGGGTGTTGAGCTTTTTTTTCACTGGGGGCCACATCAGCCTCGCAGTTGCCTTCAAAGGGCCAAAATAATTTTAGGACTGCGTAAATGTAACTACTCCTTAACAGTTAATGAATTGAAATTACGTTTGGCCCTTTGAAGGCAAGGTCGAGGCTGATGTGGCCCCCAGTGAAAATGAGTTTTGACACTCCTGCTGTATATGGTAGAGACTTAATATTACCTGACTAGATCAACAGTAATGCTTCTACTTTTGACTCCTATGCCACATGTGCAAACATAAGCATTCTCCTATGCCAGCTCTACTTAATGTTCAAGACCAAAGTCAGAAATTAGGGGTGGTTTGGAAAGCCTTCTATATAACCAAATCCACTCCAAGTAGCATCTACTTCTACACACACTTATTTTTTTAATCACCTAATTTTATAACAATATAGAAACATCAGTAGATTGATCGCTATGCCTCCAGAACTTGCTAATGCCCAGTATGGAAAAGGTCCAAAGGCTTATTCAACTGATAAAAAATCATTTACAGCAAATGATCACAACACTTAATACATTCGTCTAAGATTTGTGGTCAGTTCTCTGTGTGGTGAGTAGAATGGGACTTAATAATTTAAGCTGTATGTACAAGATTGCAGCATCTAGGTTAAAGAGTGTGTTTTCTACTTTGATTCAATTAGGATTTTTCACCAGATGTTACTTGGACTTAAAATGGTGATTTCCAAAAAGCAGGAAGTGATTTTTACCTATGTTAATACTAACTGGTAAAAACTTTCCATGTGGCAACAGATTAGATGCAATTCCTTATAATTAATGGAGAAGAATTAGATGTTTTCTAGATCTGAAACCAACAAAGCATTAGTGGTTCAAGGGGCAGTGTCTGGGGACTGGAATCCAGTTTGGTTCTTCCATATCCTAGATGCTACCTTGCATAGGGTATTTAACCTCTACGGTCCTCGGATTTTCCACCTGTGGCAGAGATGTAGTAATACTGGGTTGGCCAAAATATCCATTTACTTTTTTCTGTAAAATAAAAGACATATTTTTCACTTTTACCAATAACTTTACTGATGTGGATACTTTGTTAGCCATCTCTCCCACTACTGGATTCTAGTGGATAGAGGCCAAGAGTGCTCAATAGTACCAAGAAACTTCGCAAACCACTTTCTACACGATCCATCAATCACAGCACTTTCTTCGTATACTGCACATATCTTTTTCTAGCATTTCAGCTGCATTTTTATCCTTCTTGAATAAAGCACAATATGGTGACAATGTCACTTATTTTCTTCCATCTTCCAATATTAAAATGGCTGCACAAAAATTCATCTAGTTTGGTAAGGTCTTTAAAAAAAATGCACAGTGCTATGACAACTGTCACAGTACAATCTAACAAACTGTTTCAAATGAAGTTAAAGACAACTAAGCACTACTAAAGCCATCTTAAGAAGAAAAAATGAAGGAATTTTTTAGCCAATCCAATAGTTCCTAGTTCATGAGATTAAAAGCAGGTATTGTTTATAAAGCAGCTGACCCGCAAAAGCACTGACACCTCAGTTGTCATCTCTACCAGCTAAATCTCTTACCAGACAATGGCGGAGCATCTATTTCCCAATTTTATTTTATTTTATTTTAATTTTTTAAAAGATTTTATTTACTTATCCTTGGAGGGGAAGGGAAGGAGAGAGGGAGAAATATCAATGTATGGTTGCCTCTCATGTGTCCCTGCTGGGAACTGGCCTGCAACCCAGGCATGTGCCCTGACTGGGAATTGAACTGTGGTTGCTTGGTTCCCAGGCCCACGCTCAATCCACTGAGCTACACCAGCCAGGGCTATTTCCCAGTTTTCTTAATTGTAATGCTTACCTTCTTACCTTCTAGAATACCATAAGGTACTAAGCATACTTCACACAGTATTTCTTACCCATATTACTTAAGATACCACTGTTTATCTTTCTTTGGCTAAACAAGTCAACTTTGTAATGTTATATTTAGCTGCATAAAGCTACCCTATCAACAAACCTGTCAAAGTTACTAATTTCTTGCAAATATTTTGTTACAATAATTATACCTTCCAAAATAGCAGTTTCTTACCATCAAGCCGTTTACTAATCTGCTCCTTAGCGAGCTTGGATGGCCAGCACTTTCTCACGGTTTCAGCTACTGGAGTTCTTTCATCCTTCTCCCCAGTGCTGGAGCCAACGTTCTTCAAATCTGGGCTCTCCAACTGTTCAGTAACACTTTCAGTGCTCCTAGTAGAAGTCTGTACTACCTGTGACTGTTCTTCCATACAATCTTTTGATTCCGACATATCTGAATCATCAACATTACTCTTTGCTGCTTGGTCTAAAAATGTGACAATAACTGAAGAATTTGGTGGTGAAGTTCTTTCTGGCGAACTTGAGCCTTCTGAAATATTGAGAGGTGTGGGTGGCAACTCTGACAAATGTGCCAACTCTTTTTGTGTTCGTGGAGGTTTTTCAGTAATTTCTGAAAGCTTTACAGGGTTGCAGCAAAGTTTGGCATATTCACCACCTAACCTATGACACAATTCATTAATTATGACGTCACAGTCTCCAAGAAGCTCTACATCAAAATGCAGATGAGGCAAAGGTTCCCTATTAATTAATATCTGAGGCACTTCATGGGGTATGGAACCTAAAAATGGATAAAAAATAAGAGAAAAAGGGAAGGAGGTAAGTAAGCTAATAAAGCAACAAATGCACCATGCAAAAATCTAATATGCTCCCAATACCAAAAAAAGAAACTGGCCACTAATCTCTAACTAAAGCATTAATATTTCTTCAAGCTGTCAAGGTAACAGATGAGTAGTTAAGCATCTTTCATAAATTTTCAGGTTCTGCTTCTGTCACCTGGTTATCTCTGAGCAATCTTAGACTTGTTTTACTCTGTACCTCAATTTCCTTGTCTGTATGATGAGGATAAGAGCAGTACCTTTTCCACAAAGTTGCAGTGAGGATTAAATGAGTTAATATATTTCAAGTGCACAGAAGAGTTCTTGGCACATAGTGATTGTTATTTTACTGAAATAGCTCCTGATATGAAGAGTGTGGGGACTTCCGGTCAAGGTGGCAGAGCAGGCAAACTCTGAGCTTGCCTCTTCCCATAATCACATCGAACTTAAAACTAAATTATAGAACCATTACTGAGAACCACCTAAAGACTAAACGTAATTCCTATAAGGATATAAAGAAGTCACACTGAAGACTGGATGGAGGGGCAGAGACACAGCACAGGCGGGTCCCAACCCACAGAAGGGATAATAGCTCTACTGCAGAGGTCACCCCTGAAGAGTGAAGGGTCCAAACCTCACCTCAAGCTCTGCAGCCTGTGCCGCCAGTGCCAAAGAGTCCCCACTAACATCAGGCTGTGAAAGGGATTGCATCTGAGAATGACGAGAGTTGTGAAGGACAGCTGTGCTTCTCTTAAAGGACCTGTGCTCTAAGCTTCAACACAGGGGCAGCAGCTTGAGAAATGCCAGGGACATATGGGGAGGAGGTAAATTGACTAACATGAGCATCAGGGCTGGAGGGGCAGGTGTGGTGCTCAACTTTCTCCAGAGACAGAAGTGCTAGCAGGCAGTTACTCCTTTGTTGAACTCACCTCCCACAGCCCAGTGTAGGCAGATGCCAAATCTGTGTTCTCCATTAACCTAACAGTGATCACCTAGCCCAATGATTCCAAGAACCAATCCCATTCAACTCCCTTGCCTGTCCAGAGTCTCTCCTACTGGCTCCTCCACACAAGTGGCCTGCCTCAGTTGGCACCACAAACTTGCCCCCAAATTCAGAAATCTCACACAAGTGTTGGCTGTCCTCAGCTGGTGTTATAAACTCTCTCAAAAGTCCACAAACCACACACAGTGCATGCAGCAGCCAGCCTTGTCATGTACTGTACCTTCTGCCAAGTGGCCCCTAGCCTAGCACAAGTGCAACCAGTTTCAACTTACATTCTAACTTCCATCAGGTGGCTACAGGCCTGGTTAAGTGGTTGCACTCTTAACCACCTGCCACTCTTTGTAATGTAGCTCCAACTTAGTGGCCACAAGCTTAACACAAATGGCAGCTGGGCTCATCTCACCACAATGCCCACCAAAGGGTGCCAGGCCTGGCACAACTTGCAGCCAGTCTTAGTTCACAGCACAGCCTCTTCCAAAGCATCTCCAAGCCTAGTACAAGAGGACACAAACCACAGACCACTTCATACCTCTACCAAGCCACCCCAAGACCAGTACAAGCCCTGGCTAACCTACGCCTGCACTGGAGTCCCTCCCAAGAGGCTCCAGACCCAACACACTTGGGCAACTTCAGACCACAGAGCCCCACAGAACAGCTCCATAATTGATTCGCTCTAAGGGTGGTCTGAGCTGGTACCAGAACCATGATGAAGTATGTGTTATACTCCCTGAGGTCAGCCCCTACACGACAGCTCATGTGCTGTAAAGGCTGCTGTCCCTCACAGCTAGTCGGCCTGAGGGTCAACCTCACCCACTTCTCTGCCAGCAACAATGAAGGCCCAACTACAACAGGAAGAAACACAACCCACACAGGGGATATCCCTGAGGCACCCTGCTCAGGTTACTGAGGGGACTGTGCCACTGGGGACCACCAGACACCTATATAAGGTCACTCTGTCAGGACTGGGAGATGGCCCTGGCCAGGCAACTCAGTTGGGCACATACAAGAATCAACCAATGAGTGCATAAATAAGCAGAACAACAAATCCATGTTTTTCTCTCTAAAATCAATTGATAACTAATACACAGAAATGGAGAGTCAGCCAAATCGAGGAAACAAATATGTCTCAATGAAAGAACAGGACAAAATAGAGACAAGCAATCTACCAGATATGGAGTTCAAAACACTGCTTGGTTATAAGACTGCTCCATGAACTTAAGAGAACAAGATGATCTCAGTGACAGCTTCAACCAAGAGACAGAAAGTATAAAAAGAGACAAAAAACATAAACCCAATCAAAACTGAAGAGTAACTTCAATGCAGATTATACCAGAGAGAATCAACAGCAGATGAGATGAATCGGAGAATCAAATAAGCAATATGGAAGGCAAAGTTGGGAAAAAAAAATACCGAACTGTAACAGAAAAAAGCTTTTAAAATGAAGATAGTTTAAGGGGCCTCTTGGACAACACCAAGGATACCAACAATTTGTGCCATTGGGGTCCCAAGAGTTTGAAAAGAGAAAGAGCGAGGGATGGAAAACCTATTTGAAGAAATAATGACTAAAAACTTCCCTAACCTGACAAAACTAGACATACAAGTCCAGGACCTCACAGAGTCTCAAACACATTGAACCCAAAGAGGCCCATACCAAAACACATCATATTAAAGTGCCAAAGGTTAAAGACAGAGAAGCTTAGCAGCAGGAAGAGAAAAGCAGGTATCTACAAGGGAGCGCACAAGAAACTGTCTCTAATTTCAACAGAAACTTTGCAGTCCAGAAGGGAATGGCACAAAATATTCAAAGTGATGAAAAGCAAGGACACAGAACCAAGATTATTCTACCCAGCAAGGCTATTGTTTAGAATCAAAAAGAGCGAAAGAGCGTATCACACAACAAAAAGCTCAAGGAGTTTATCACCACCAACCAATATTATAAGAAATGTTAAAGAGACTTCTTAGGTAGAACAGAAAAGATAAAAAATATGAACAAAAGGAAACAACATATCACCACCGAACATAAACACATAAAAGCAGTGGATCAACCAATTATAAAGCTAGTACAAAGGCTGAAAGACAAAAGTAGAAAGATCATTTACATTTATAATAAAAAATTAAAAGGAAAACACAAACATACACACACAAAGGAAGAAAAAAAATAAAAGTGGAGGGGGTGAGTAAAAATTGTAGTGATTTTCTTTTTTTTAAAGGGTTTATGAATTTTTAGAGAGAAGGGAAAGGAGGGAGGAGAGGAAGAGAAACATCACAGTTGCCTCTGGCACACCCCCAACTGGGGACCTGGCCTGCAACCCAAGCATATGCTCTAACCAGGAGCTGAACCAGTGATCTTTTGGTTCACAGGTTGATGTTCCATCCACTGAGCCACACCAGCTAAGGCTGCAGTGATTTTAGAATGTGTTCAAACTTAAGAGCCATCAATTTAAAATAGCCTGCTTTAAAAGTAGGTTAGCACAAGTACTGAAGCACAAGGTAAACACAGAGAACTACAAAAACAGAAAACAACAAACCAGCAATAACTACATAACACTCAATAATTACTTTAAATGTAAGTTAAGTATTCCAATTAAGACAAGGGTGGCTGAATGGATAAAAATAAAACCTTTATACATGCTGCCTACAAAAGATCCACTTCAAATCTAAAGACACACACAGACTGAAAGTAAAGGGATAGAAACAGGTATTTCATGCAAAATAAAAATGGAGGGAAAAAAAGCTGAAGTAGCAATACTTCTATCACAAAACAGACTTTAAAACAAAGGCTGTTGAGCCCTGGCTAGGTGTCTCTGTTGGTTGGAGCGTCACCCCAATATGCCAAGATTGCAGGTTTGATCCCAGTCAGGGCACGTACAAGAAGCAACTGATGAATGCATAAATAAACGGAACTACAAACTGATGCTTCCCTCTTTCTCCCTTCCTCTCACAAACAAACAAACAAACAAATAACAGGCTGGAACAAGAGACATAATGATAAAGGGAACCATTTCAAGAAAATGATATAATTTGTAAACATTTATGCTTCCAATGTAGGACCACCTAAAACTATAAAGGGAGAGATCAACAATAATACAGTAGAAGTATAGGACTTGAACATCAATGGGTAGATCATTCAGACAGAAAATAAATCAACAAGAAAAGTGCCCTTAAATGATATATTAGACTGGATGGATTGGTTGAGATTTTTCAGGACATTTCACCCCAAAGCAGCAGAATATATGTTCTTTTCAAGTGCATATGGGTTATTTTCCAGGTTAGACCTCTACATTTAATAAGACTGCAATCATATCAAACATCTCTAATCACAATGGTATAGACTAGAAATCAATGACAAGAAAACTGAAAAACGAAACAACACATGGAGGCTAAATAACATGCTACTCCACACTGAAAAGACACCTCAGACAAATGAAACACAATGACCCCAAAATCTATAGAATACAGCCAAGGAATTTCAAGAAGGAAATTCATAGCAACATAGGCTTACCTCAATAAACAAGAAAAGCTTTAAATAAATAGTCTAACCTTATACCCAAAGGAACTAGAAAAACAAGAACAAAGACCAAAGTGAATAGAAAGACCAATAAAAACCAAGAGCAGGTATTTGAAAAGATAAACAAAATCGATAATACTTAAAAAAACAAACTACCATCCTTCAGCCTGATTCATTAAGAGAGAGAGTCCAAATAAATAAAATTTCAAAAATCAGAAAGAGGTGACAACTGATACCACAGGAATACAGAATATGAGAAAATACAACAATTATATGCCAACAAATTGGACAACCAGGAAAAGATGGATAAATTCCTAGAAACATAAGCTTCCAAGACTGAATCAGAAGAAACACAAAATCTGAACAGTCTGATAACTACTAACAAAAACCTAAATCAGTAATAAAAAAAACCCTCAATAAATAAGAGTCCTCAACCAGATACCTTCACAGGTGAATTTTCCCAAACATTCAGAAGAATACCTATACTTCTTAAACTCTTCCAAAAAAATTGAAGAGAAGGGAAAGCTCCCAAATTCATTTTACAAGGCCAGTAGTACCCTGATAATAAAACCAAAAGGACTACAAACAGGAAAAAAAGAAAAATATGGGCAATATCCCTAATAAACACAGATACAAAAATCCTCAACAAAATATTAGCGAACTGAATTCAGCAATATATAAAAAGATCATACACCACAATCAAGTGGGATTTATTGCTGGGATGCAAGGTTTGTTCAATATCTAAATATCAATTATCCTTCATAAATAAAATGGATAAAAATCACGATCATATTGCCTTGGCCGGGTGGCTCAGCTGGTTGGAGCATCATCATGTACAACAAAGGATGAGGATTCAATTCCCGGCCAGGGCACATACCTAAATCGCAGGTTCAATCCCTGGTCAGGGTGTGTACAGGAAGTGGCCAACTGCTGTTTCTCTCTCTAAAAATCAATGAATATACCATCGGGTGAAGATAAAAAAAAATCTCTGCCTTACCTATAAGGAGGAAAAAATAACTAAAAAACAAAGGAATTTCTACATTAAATTTTCGTGTTTTATTTGATTACAAATTGTCCTATATTGTAATTAAAAGAATTTCATTTATTAAAAGACAGAGTTATATTGCTAAAAGTGACTACATATAGTGTAGGAAAAAGACAGAATTAGAGAGTTTAAATCTTGTTTCTTCCAACTGTTTACTCTTGCTGCCTATTTGATGGCTAGTGTAGGAGTCTGATTTAATTCTTTGGATAAGATCTTGATATTCTCTCCTTTTCTCCTTCATTTTTTAGGGCACATTTGATGCTAGTGAGTTAGTCCCTTTACCTTCCTCCTCTCCCTTGCTTCCTCACTAGAGAGAGAAAAAAAAGGTATAACAGCATGTATTAAAGAAATATTCCTGACAGCAATAAGGACTTCAATTGTATTTGAGCATTTCTGTACACACAAACACCCTTATGGATAAAGTATACCACAAAGGACAATTATGACAAGGCATGATTTTTTTTCCACAAATACAAGCCAGTCATTCTGAATCCCCAAATGCTATCTTATATAGTATGTTTTACTTCTATTAAGCTATACATTTTAACTTAAAGCTGAACTGTTTCCCTTTGTCTGAATTTTTCATATACATTAGAACCTGCCATTATTTTTGTTTTGACACTGCTCTCCCCACCCCACCAAAAGTCTGAAAGTCTTCATGAACAAAGACAGCACCTAAAAAATTAAGTTTAGTTCTTCATCTCTCCTTCAGAAACACAGTAAGATCACTGGGGTCGATTTGATTGCAGACTCACAACCCATGGCAATATATATGGAAATATTCTCTAAAAATCATCACCAACTTACTTGGAATTAGTGCTACTGGTCTTACTTTCAGGGAAGACCCAATGACAATGAGGAGATCAACTTCATCTTTGTCATACTTCATGGCTCTATGAAACTGTTCTGGTAAATTTTCACCAAAAAAGACAATCTCTGGTTTCATAATAGCAAGTGGTTCATCAGCTGGGCACCTGGGACATCGAGGAACCACCTGCATGTTTCAGATTTTGGTTGAGGTTGGGAAGAGATGGGAAAGCCCAAGTTAGGAACAGTCAACATTTCCACACTTTGTAAGAATTCAATTCAAAATCAAAGAAAATCAAAGAAAACAGAAAAGCTGTGGGCAACTAGCAGGGAAACTGGATACAACCTAAACATCAATGTCAGTTGTCACTGAACATTTGCTTATTAACATACAATGAAAAACCAATGTTGCTATTATCTGTGTATGCTATTATACACCTGTGCAAACCTACATTTGATATTCAAGGGTTCACTGTATATTAAAAGGAAAAACCAGCATGATGTGTATATATGTATGTACGCACTATACACAGAAACACTTAATCCTTTAAAAATAAGTTTGTAAAAGATAATGATTTCATTTTAATATACTATCCTCCTCATAATTACTTATGATTAAATATGCAGGTAAAGGAATAGAATTTATTTCTGGATGGTTTTTATTCTTTGCCTATTTTCTTGCAGTATTTTGGCAGTGAGCTTAAATGAAACACTTTCTGCAATAATTTTTTTTAAAGATTTTATTTATCTTTAGAGGGGAAGGGAAGGAGGGAGAGAAGTATCACTGTATGGTTGCCTCTTGTGTGTCCCCTGCTGGGAACTGGCTTGCAACCCAGGCATGTGCCCTGACTTGGAATCGAACCGTGGTTGTTTGGTCCCCAGGCCCATGCTCAGTCCACTGAGCTACACCAGCCAGGGCTTTTGCAATAATTTTTAAAAAAGAATTACCACCCTACTGTAAGACTGTGAATCTGACAGGCACTAAAAACAGAGAGTAAAGCTCTGGCTGGCGTGGCTCAGTGAACTGAGTGCCGAACTGCGAACAAAAAGTGTCGCTGGTTCAATTTCCATTCAGGGCATATGCCTGGGTTGCGGGCCAGAATCCCCATTGAGGGGGGGAGGGGAGCCAAGAGACAACCACACATTGATATTTCTCCTCTTCTTCTCCCTCCCTTCCCCTCTCTCTAAAAAGAAACCAAATTTAAAAGACCAAAACAAAATGGAGAGTAAGGAGAAAAAGTAGTAGAGCAACACCTCACTTATGATCTGGGTTTTTATTTTAGTCTTCAATATTAAAGAGTCAATTTTATCATTTTAGACACATTATGAACCAACGTTTTCAAAATCAAGTACTGAAAGGTTCTTAATGTATTTGACCAGAATTCCCACTGATAACACTCTCTGTGTCCTATAAATTCTCTCAGAAAAATAAAAAAAGTTTGAGCAGCAAAAGAAGAAAAAGACCAGAGACATGCACAATTCCTAAAATATGGGTGATAGATTACCTGATTAAAAATATCTCCTCGTACAGCTTCACAGTCAACTTTGTATTTACAAATCAGGCAAGACGCTGTTGCAAAGGAACCTAAAAAACCCCAACATGTTATGTATTTTATTTAAGTAACGTTTACATTTATTTAACATGCTACAAAGGTCAGAATAGCAAATAACCTAACCAGAATTGTTAGATTATTTTAAAACGTTATCAGATTCCTTGGGAAAATCTAGGGGAGGAACAATTAAAATGCTTATATAATAAATAAGGAGAGAATCCAATCATCAATTGCTGAGTTGTTGATACAATGACAACCCCCCTGAAGCTACTCTTTTCAATAAAATAAACCAATTCTTACAGGGCTAAAACTCTACCAGGCTGGAAGATTACAACTGTATTGGCTTGGCTTAATTGACAGCTGTGTTTTAAAAACAGTTTATATATAAAAAGAAACATTCTGTTCATACTTGTGCTAGCTTGAAATATTTGAATTCTGTTCACCTGAACTACCTACCCAGTTACTTTGGTTTCATAATTTAAAGATGTCATTTTCTTTTCCGTACATAGCTAATATTACTTTTGTAATCAAGAAAGGTTACTTAAGCCCTGGCTGGTGTGGCTCAGTGGACTGAGTGCCGGACTGTGAACCGAATGGTCACTGGTTTGATTCCCAGTCAAGGCACATGCTTGGGTTGTGGGCCAGGTCCCCAGTAGGGGGCGCGTGAAAGGTAACCACCCATTGATGTTTCTTTCCTTCTCTTCTTCCCTTCCCCCCTTCCCCTCTCTCCAAAAATAAATAAGTAAAATCTTTAAAATAAGATTACTTAAAAGACTTCAATGGAATGCAACTGCTACATCTTTTGAAATCCCAAAGCACAATGACTTCTGATGTTTCGTACAATTAAGTGTCAAGGCTAATACTTCTGGTTTCCATTTGTTTGTATTCTACTTTTCTGATTTTTATCTACAATGAAACATTAGCATCAATAACATAATAATAAAGCTCAATCTCTATTCCTGGATGGCAGCCTCCTTTCTAATCCTAAATTTTCCTAGAAAACAAAACTAACAGAAAGTATCCCTAAAGTTTACCAACCATGACACTGAATTATCCTTTGGATTCCCGCGACCTGTTCCAGTGTATCTATATTCTGAGTATAGTTGCGAAGTAGTTTTCCTTCTTTATCTGACAAGGCTATGAATTTGTGACAGAGAGATGGCTGGAACTGTCCAGGATATATTTCCTATATAATGCAAAAGCAGAAAAAAGATTACATTTAAGAAATAAGTATAACAGATGTCACATATTTAGTTTTAACAACAACAAAACTACCAGTGATAATCCCCCATGTATAAATAACTTAAAAACTACATGAGTATCTCAAAGCAGATGGGTACAACACACACCTAACAAAAGGATTGTTGTGTAAAACTCAGCAATTAGTGAACCAGGCCCCTTGAAGGATAAAGTTGACCCATAAACATCTCTAATAAATGTTAACAGATATTTTAATAAAAGTCAGAAGATATACTAAGAATAAGCTAACTTTTGTTGGCTGCTAATTCAGGTTTGTTTTGTTTTGTTTTGTTTTTAAGAAAAAAGGGGAATAGTTTAAACTGAAATTAAAGTATCAAAGGTATGGTGACTTTTTTAAAACTAAAAAAAGGTACTGTCAACATAAGACTATTAAAATGTTTTGATTCACCATTCATTATAAATATCAACCTGTTGGAAGTTTAAAGCTAAAGTTTTAATTCCTTACCAAAATTGTTTTCCTTCCACTGCACAGGCACATACTGGTATAGTATAGAGCTGCTCATGAATGCTGAGTTGCTGGATTTTGTGTGTGTGTTTTTCCCCCCAAATAATGCTTCAATGCTGTTTCTTCTTTAAAAACAAAGAATTCAGATATACACATGGCAAAAAGATCAGAGAAAAAGTATCAATTTTGGTCCTCTCAACTTTTGACAGTGTTTTTTATTTCATTTAGTAAGTGATTATGGCAAAGGAAGTTTCTTCTCTACTTTTTCCATTTAAGTAGTGGTGCTACCTACTTCCTTACCATCCGTTACAGCCTCTAACCTACTTCAATGCTAGCGAAAAACTAGATACAACCATATGTCCAGCAATAGGGGACCAACTGGTTGTAAATATATGGTACCATCCATAATAGTGGAGTAAGAAGCATTAAAATTAGTAAGGGTGGTTTGGATGCACTAACCTGAAAGATGGTCCATGACATACATGAAAAAAGCAAATTAGTCATTGGTGTTTTGTTTTTACTGTTTTGTAAGCAAAAATGGAATATGCACATGCATATGTGTTCATATAAACATCAAGTCCGGAAGGATACAAACAAGCTATAAACAGGTGGGGAAACTTTCACTTCCAATTATTATACAAAAGAGTTTAACAAAATCATAGATGGCTTTACTTTTAACCTACTTAATTATTTCAAATTTTAAAAAACTATCTATAGGGATACCTCTTAAGCAAATCTCCTTATAACACTATCATATACATGTCTAAATGCTGTTGAAAATTGTTATACAAAAATCCAAAAATTTAGCCTCACGTTCAAATTTTTATCATGAAATTTCATGAACTTTGCAACTTAAGAAATAGATAATGCATTAAAAGAAAGTAACAAATCAGCTTAATAAAGCCAAAGTTTATTAAAAACTGAGAGCTACACTGTGTTCTAGGCCACTGGGTTGTACTATACTGTCCATTGTTTTAGCCCCAAGATGCTTTGTTCTAGTAATTCATATTTACATTTAGAAGATTAAACACTGTATTATTTTATTAAAGTTCCCTCTGGAAATTGCTGTTTGCGTGTTTTAACAAATATTAGAATACGCTAGGCAACAGATAAATAAGATCTAAAGTAGAAAGAAATGTGATTAACGGTATGCCAAACAAAACAACAAATGACCTGCAGAACACGGTCAGGGAGCAAGAGTACCAAGACTCTAAGACGCCAAGACTTCTGAAACGAACTTTTGTGGGCCTTATTCCCCATCCTCTCTAAAAGGGAGGGTAAGAAGAACAAAGACATATAGATACTAGATTCAGCTCTTCACTTCAGTTTCCCTTCATGGCCAAATCATAACCATTTAGGGTAGTTTAGCCCTTAGAGTTATGAATTAATTCCTGTAGTTGGGAATCATATTTATGAAGGGTTTTTTTGTTTCATTTTATAAGCCTAAATCTGATGTGTCAGAATCAAAGTAATGCGAATCCTAACTTTGTTTATTTTCTTTCAAATGTGCAGTGCACCATGTCTAAATCATTAGGTTTAAATATTGTGTTCAAACTAAGGAACATAATCTGAAATAATGAACAAAAATTACTCTGGACAGACTATTTTAATAGAAACTACTTTAAGGCAGGCTCTTTATGAAAAGTTGCTGAAAACCAAATGGTTAGGGGTAAAACTTAGCTGAAGTATGGTTTAATTCTTTCATGTTAGAACTGTGGCAAGCTAGCCCTGTTCTATGCAAGACAGGATACCCCCAAACCTGAATATCCTCAAGACTTGTTAAGGAACCAACATGTGGACTGGGCCAATGTTATTGCCATGGGGGTCCTTACAAATGAGAAAACAGAGCTCAAGACACTTTTAAAAAAAGCACATTGCTTCCACACAGCTGTGCCCAAAAATATACAAACCACCAAGTAATCGTCCATAGGCAAGCAAAGTGGTCCAAACTAAAGCTTAGAATTACCTGCGACAGTTTTCATGTGGAAATAATGGCTCTCTGCTTGGTTTCTTCTCAATCTTTCTAGCAATATAAATGAGACCCCAGTCAAAGGCAGGGATATTAACCTCTTGGAAATAAAAGGACTCATCAATATGTGAGATGCCACTATTTGCTAATACCCACCTCCTCTACAGAGCAGAGGGAGGCAATAAGTAGAGTCAATAACAATCTACCTAAAATCTCCATGCTGCCAAAAAAGAGAAGGGAAACTCCATCGACCCTGGTTAGGAAAATCCTCATAATCTTTTGTTTCATTCATTCCATAAAACCACACTTGAATAGGTTATTCAATATTACCTAATCAGCACTTACAAATTATAGTCACCTGACAGAGAAATGCAATTGCTTTTCTATTTTTTATTTCTTAAAAGTCTGGTTCCTTGAGTCAAGATTCAGCAAACTGTTTCCACACAGGGACACCAGGCAGTAAATATTTAAGGCTTCGCAGGCCAGGAAGCCTTTTGTCCTCCCTATGGTCTCTGTTGCAATCACTCAATCTTCCACTGTAGTGTAAAAGTGCCACAGACAATATGAAAATGAATAAGCATGCTGTATTCCAATAATGCTTTATTTATGGTCACTAACATTAGAATTTTCATATAATGTTCATACGCCATAAAAAACCATTCTTTTGCTTTGTTTTCCTCTCACTTAAAATCTTTTAGCTCCTGAGCTGTAAAAAAACAGTGGGCCACACATGGCTACAGAGTTTGCCAATCCCTGTACTAACCTAACACAAAAGAATTTTAATTAATTAAGCTATTAGTTACCATTTAATAAAGTTTTAATGTACTAAACATAACAGGAGCAATTTATTAGAATGCTATATAGATCAGGCTGAGGGCTGGGTTTTTTAATTTTCAAAGCTTGCACAGGAAAACAAAGAACATATGACAAAGCTCTTATGTTATCCACAAAGCAGGTCACATTCACTACCTGGCCCTACAGAAGGAAGATTTGCTAACCATACTGTGGGGTACATACCCCCTTTTTGCAGATGAAAAAAACCAAAGCACAGTAACTTGCCAAAAGTCACAAGAGCCAGTAAGTAGCAGAGCAATCATTCAAACCCTGTTTTGAACCAAAGTGTGGCCTTTAACCACTATGCAATACCTTTTCAATGTCTGATCCCTCAGCCTCAAGTTTCATATTTTTCTTTTAGGCTAAGTATCGTTTCTGTTATATATTGCTAACTAGTCTAATAAGTATACTGCATTTTCCACATTTTCATGGGATTACTGGAGGCTAGAATTCCTCTAACATGAAAACACTTTTCAAGAATACATAATGTTCCCACAAATCAGTAAAATAAAAACATCCCCTGGGACAAAATATCTAAGATCAGATGATCCAAGGATATACACGTAGCCAGTAGTAAAAAGCAATTTACATCAATATATTAAAACAGAACACTAAAGAGAAAAGTTTACATCAATATATTAAAACAGAACACTAAAAAGAAAAGATGCCATATTTTTCTATTTAACTGGTGCTTTTAACTGCCTTACAAACTCTTTATCCCCATTAATAGAAGGCTGATTAAATATATCGTGGTGTAACTATAAGACACTCTACAACCTTTTCGTAAAAATAAGTTATATCTGTTATGTGCCATTATGAAACTATTTCCAAGAATATTAAGTGGAAAAAAAAAAACAAGGTTCAAGAAACAGGTGTATAATTCTGTTAGTAATCATTTTTATCCTATTTCTTTAGGATTTTATTTTTATTATTTTAGAGAGAGAGGAAGGGAAGGAGAAAAAAGGAGAATCCCACACACCCCCACCGGGGACTGAACCCCACAACCTAGGCACATGCTCTGGCAGGGAATTGAACCAGCAATGCTTGGCGAAATGATACCCAACAAACTGAGCCACACTGGTCAGGGCAGTCTTCATTTTTAAAGTATTACTAGAAACTTATAATAATGACCCTCTGTCGTCTCCCTCCTCCCTGAGCCCCCCCCCCAACAAACAGGTTTACTCAATTTTTTCTTCCCTCTGGAAGGCCCAAGAAAACATGGTAACCTTTGAGGAATGATAAAGATAAAGAATATTATCTTTATATTCTTATAAAGAATATAAGATATATTCTTATAAAGATAAGAATATTATCTAAGAATATAGAGATAAAGAATATTAAAGGAAGAGGCCAACTAGTTTATATATTGTGCTGTTTAAATTTCTTTTTAAAACATATTCACGATATACACACACATACAGTCCTTCAAAAATATTTTAACGCTAATAATGTACTGTGGAGGACGTGAGTGAGGATTAGGGTTTGGGCATGCTAAATCAGCCTTCTCATACACTTCTCTCGGGAGTGTATTTTATTAACCTTCACAGGTGGCAGTACAGCAAAATATATCAGGACCCTTAGTTTCCTTTTCTGGAGTTATCCTAAGAGCATCCACCAAAAAAGGATAATCAAAGCAACACTTTGTGACAACAGAAAGTAGGAAATATTCAAATGTATACTTGCAGGATTGGTTTGTTTCAGTATACCACTTGAACACTATGACAATATAAAGTATTCAAGTGTCTGACAGAAAAAGTTTATTAAATAGAGAATAGTACGAACCCAAATCAGTAGGAAAAAGAGCCCATTTTTATAAAAGAAATGCAACATATATCCAGCTATAATACATTATAGTTGTATTTATACATCTGTAATCCACATATATATCAGTATTAACATACCATCTTTAGGTCAATGTGACTAAATCTATTTGGGGTAATCTTTTGATTTTTTGGTAATGAACTGTCTTTAAGATTCCTTAACTTTTATAATTACATAATCTGGCATGTTAACACATTATCAATAATGTGAGAATTTACTGAATAAATATTAAGATACATTTTTGGAATTAAGTAAAATTCAGTTCACATTTCCCCCCTCTACTTTTTCTTAAGTTTTAATCAATTTAAGGGGAAAATATCCACTGAAATACAGGAAAGGGAAATACACTCTTTCCATGAAGTCTTTTTTAAAAAGTTATGTTTCTTCTTTAACTGACTCTTAATACAATCACTCAATTTTATCAGCAACAATTATCCTAGACTCCTGGGAACCCTTATTATGCAGCAGGATAATGGTTCAGGACATGGCTATACAGCTTTAATGCTGGCCTTAATTGTTCTTGTGCAAAAAAATTCAAAGTGGTAACACAGCTAGGTACGCTGCATTACGATGGTGCTCAAACAGGGAGCAATTCTTGCAGGGGTCACTTGGCAATGTATGGAGACATTTTTGATTGTGAAGACTGTAGGTGGGGGGTGCTAATGGCACTTAATGGAAGAGGGATGCTGCTAAATACTCAACAATGCATAGGACAGTTCCTCATAGCAAAGAACTACCCACAGATTGAGAAACCACTCTAATGGGCCAGTAATCTCTTTTAACACACCTCTCCATTACTTGCAATTTCCAGTCTAAATGAAATCTAAGTTTCTTCTCAATAATTACATACAATTAAAGAAATTGCTTCCTTCCAAAGTGTCTAAATTTAACCAATAGCTTCTACAACCATTTACTCTCATAACTAGCAAAAGGCATAAACCATCTCAAACTTTCTGCTTAGTATAGCAAGTGGCAGAAATTTTTAGATCATTAGTATTTTATTCATTATATTTTATGAATCTAGTAATATAACAATATTTACATATCCTCCCCATCTTCCTTTTTTTTGGATTTTGTACTTCATCATTTCTTGCCCTTACTTATTTCTCCTTAACCTTTCCCCCCAATTATTTATTTTTAGGCCCAGTAACAAATCAGTCTCTTCTACCCATTACCATTTAAGTGCTACTTCAGCAACTAGAAACTTTCTTTTAGGCAGTTCCTAAAGTGAGAATTACAGTACAACAGTTCTATGTAAGTTGTAGTTACAAACGTGTTTTATTTATATTAATTTATTTTTCGTGTAAGGGGTAGGAAGGAAGAAAGGGAAAGAAACATCCATACGAAACAGAAACCACTCCGTTGCTAGACACATGTCCTGACCAGGGACTGAACCCACTATTTAGGCATGTGCTCTGACAGGTGACTCTGCAATTTTCTGGACGATGCCCATCCAACTGAGCCACACCGGTCAGGGCACAAAGGTTAATTATTTAACTCTTAACATAGCTGAAATAAAAACTCAGAAAAATAATCAAGCAAAATCAAGTTTATATTAACTTCTTTCATTTTATTAATAAAAATATACATAAATTTTAAAAACTTTTATAGAAAAGTGAAAAATACTTTTCAGTTGGGCCCTTCCTTCTCCCAGGTGGTATATAATCTATACACAGAGGTTAAGAACAGTGTTAACACATTTAACAGTGTGCCCTTTTTATTGTAATTCATATTTTACTTTCTCTTATGTTCTACCTAGATTTCTATTAAGTGCACTTTTTAAAGTTCTTATAATTTCTTTATCATTTTAATTCTGAATTGCTTCAACAGATTCTCACATGTCAAAGCTAGTTTATGCTACCAATGAATACACAGTTTGTATATTAGACAATTAAGGTTACAATCTTTCCCACCTTGCTATTTCTATTCCCAGTTACCACTTTTTTCCAAGTGTCAGGTTACTACTTTACTAAGCAATTTAGCACACACTAAAGTGATAAGGGGATGGTGGGGACCAACAAGTTAGTTTGGGCAACATGTTTTCTTTCCTCTCAGAACACAGAATTACAGGCCCTAGGCCTAGTAGCTCAGGTGGTTAAAATGTCAACCCAATGCACAAGGCTGTGGATTCGATCCCCAGTCAGGGCGCATACAAGAACCAACCTATGAATGCATAAGTAAGTGAACAAATAGATGTTTCTCTCTCTCTCTCTCCCGCTTCCTCTCTCTAAAAATCAAGAAATTTTTTAAAAAATCACCACAAAATTACAGCGTTACAAGCATTTTATAAATGGCCTAGTGAATCAAGCATTTATAATCATATATAAGATCAAAGTAATTTCTAGTTACTTGCTATCTTCTGAAAGTGTTAATTTCTACTAACTAGAGCTGTTAGCCAGTATCTTAGATCCAATTCAAGAAACCTATCATGAAGTGATATTGCATTGGTCTGCAAAATCAGGCATTGGTACTACTAGCACAAGTAAGTTTAAACAGTAAATCTTCACTAATTCATACTCCCACAATTAAGAAAAAAAAAACAAGTAAAAAAAAAAACTTTTACATTACTTATGTAATTCAGTGTGAACCAGTCTGTTTTAAAGGCTAGATATAAATAACTGTTATTACTTTATGCTGATATATAAAGTAAAAAGTCCAAAATTTTCACAAGTTTTACATTTGCGGATGGAAAAATTACAAATTCTTTTAGGAGCCTGAAAATTTTTCAAATTTAGCTTTCAGTTTTAGTAATTATTTCACATTTAAGAGATTTAAATATGACTTCCATATTTTACTCTAATTCCTACTTAACCACACTTGGCTGAAACTAAGTATTTCTTCAGAAACAAGTCAAATTAAACCCCATTATTCTGAATTAGCAGAGTTTTTCCTATGCTTTGAAAGTAGCTGAGGTTACCCTTTAATTAAAATTCAGGTTCATTTAACTTCTGGATTCACTAAAATTAGTCATTAACACAAAAGCCTCTTTTCAAATATACAGAAGCTCAGCAATTACAATTTTATGATTTCTTTCCATAAGACTGAACTATGGAGTAAAAAAAGTTTTCCGATGACTAAAATATCTTGGGCTATGGTATAATGCAATAATTTTCAACGTTTTTCATCTCATGGACACATAATCACAAAAATTCTGTAGCATACCAAAAAATGCATTATATATTTTTTTGCCAATATGAAAAAAAAACAGGTATAATTTTGATTCATTCACATACGATAGCTATTGTTTATTGTGCTAGCTGTTGTCATCTTTTAATTTGACAATCTAAGGGAAAAGAAGTCAGTACCCCACAAAATAGTCAGGTATTGCATGTTTTAAAAATTCTCATGGCATACCAGTTGTAAATCACCGGGATAGCCCTAGTGGGTAGCTAAGTTGGTTAAAGCATTGCCCCGATATGCCATGAGTTGGGTGTTCAATCCCAGTAGGGGCATATACAAGAAAACAACCAATGAATGCATAAATAAGTAAAACAACAATTCAATGTTTCTCTTTTTCTTGTTCCTCTCCCTCAAAATCAATTTTAAAAAAAGAAAGAAAATCTCTGGTATAATGTAATGTATTATCAAGATTTGTACTCCAGAGTTGAGCCACCCAACAGAAATATAATGTGAGCCGTGTATGTAATTTTAAATTTTCTAGTAACAAGAACATGAAATAAAAGCCTGAGCTGGACTATGCAACTCTAGAGATTCTAGAGCAGAACAGAGGATTCTTGACTAAAATGCAACCTTAGAATTTTCTCTGCCCTTAATCACAAATGTTCAGGCACATCCTCATGTGTTAAGATCTGGTTAATACAAACCATACCAAAGCAGATATTAAAATCTTTATGACCCAATGGGACAACTAGAAAAGTTCATAGTACCTTTGCAAACTTGAAGAATGGTCTTGGATCTTTTCTGAAATATTCAATATCAAACATTGCTTGAGGATCTGGAAGATCTGGAAAGTCTACTGCAAGGCGAGCATAAATACCATCTCTTGACCTGAAGTCAGGTATTCCACAAGAAACAGAAACCTGCAATATGTATGGCATAATTTGTGTAATTAAATCTTCTACCTCAACCTTTATAATTGCTCTCTTATACATTTAGGCAGGGGTTGAGAAATGTTTTAAACTTCTTTTGGGGAACAGAAGTATGACCCTATTCCAATTTAAAATATAGATAAAACACTCCCAAAACAAGTATTACTAAATCCATCAGAGTCCATTCATAATGGGGAAAGGAATTTTAAGTCAGGCAAATTTCAAACCTTTAAGCATTTAACTGACAAATTAAAGCAACAGCAATTTGACTGAGAAGAGAGTATGTAATTTCAAATTATTTTAACCAGAAAGCAGGCAAGAATTTCTATTATAGTCAAGTATTTCCAAAGAACTTTCCATCTGGTCAGGGGCCTACTACTTCAAAAATACTAAACTTCTGTATTTTCTTGAAAATATTTTGTTGTACAGTATTTCAATTCTTAATGTTTAAGAATGGGTTTAGACACTATGTTTTTTTCTACAAATAAAACCTGACAAACAGAGATTTCAGTATTACCTTTTTGTTTCACAATTTTACCAAAGTCGACTCCACTTTGACCTCAGAGTAAACCAAACATGTCTAAATCATATCTGGGAGCAAAGTATTACCATTGTTGATGATCATTTAAGATTAAGTGACATCCGCCCTTAACTTAAAAGGGCAGAAAGCAAGACTGAATTTTACTCCAGCATCAATCTGGTCACCAACAAGCATTTTTTTTGTATTCAATACACTAACACAATAGCCTTACAAAGCTAGTTAACTGCAGTCTTATAGGCAGGCAAATAATGTCAAGTTATCACAATCATATCACCTTAATTTAAATGGAGGAAGGTAGGAATCTGTTACCTTCTTAACATTAAATGCTTTACTTGTGAACATCAACTGGGCTCCTGGTTTCCCTATGAAGATGGAACAAATACCCAATTTCTCCATCACACCCTGACACACTTTAATGCAAGCAAAATTCTCTAAATCTCCTTTTGGACCTGTGGTGTAATGTAGGTAAAAGTCTTGCCTTACTTCCACTTACCTGCTATATTAATAAACAGGAGCAAAGAATTTTTAAGGTTGTTGGAGAGGTTTTTTAAAAACTGAACCAATTTGGCATCTGCTACTGCATTCCCTTTTTAGCCATTTCCAAAACAAAAATACCCATTATCACGTAAGGATAAATCGTTCTACACCAGAAAAATGTCTAATTGGAAAATGCATAAGAAAAAAACATTTACCACCTCCTCCTTTTTACCAGTGTTTTATTCATGTTACATACCCCAGCTCCAGTTAGAACTATTATTTTTTTGCATTCCTGCAGTAATTTCACAGCATCTTCAATTGTATTAATATCTTTTCTTTTTTTCCTTTTTGGTGGTTCTGAAAGGATATTAATAACAATCTGCCACAGTGTCATATCATCCAATTCAGGTGGAGGAATTGTTTCTGGTAGTAAATCTTTAAGAATTGTTCGAGGATCTGTGCCAATCATGAGATGTTGCTGAACAAAAGCATATGGACCTATATTAAGAGAGCAAAGAATCAGATCAAATCCCCATCCAAGTAATTCAAAATTTCATTTATTTTCTGAAGGAATAAATAACATTACTTAACATGTTTAATGAAATAGTAAAATGCATTATAAAGTTATTTCATTCTCACAACATCCTCAGAGCTAATGCTATATCCTAATGAAATTAGAAAGATCCAATCAATAATTGGGTCTGCCCCCTGAACCATAAAATACAAAGTATGTATCTCCAGAGTTAAATTTTGATGGTTACAATCCAGAAATACACAATTCATAACAGGAGTATGTACAAAAGGGTTCTACAGATATAGGAAAGATCCTATGATCCCCAAACCTCATCTGTTTAACATTAAGGGCATAGGAAAAAGGAAATCTATATATCTATCTAAAGAAATTTATATATAACTACCTTATTAAAAATTTTCCCATAATATTTAATTTGATCTTAACCCATCTCTCAAAATGATACATATAATGCTGATATTTTCAGCATTCATATTTCTTTATCCTGACATTTCTTAGTTTTCTAGCTTGAAAAAAACAAATATAGAGTAATATTATAGATGCTAAAGAGGAACTAATGATCACTATATTTTAGTCAAGAATAAAAGCACATTAAGAAAAGACCATTTTAAAGATGGTCATTTCGTAACTTTGGTATAAATACTGAGTGTTCTCTTCTGCTAAAGTAGATTTACTTTTGTGAGTATACAAAACACAGAAATTATTCTTGTTATTATTAATTATTGTATTGCTTATTTGTATCATAACTGTAAACCTACTTTTGCCCACCCATGTGACTTTCCCATTTCATCCACATAGTTAAAGATTAGCCGAGAACAAATTATGTGCCAGGAACTTCTATAGAAACTGACAAAATAGTATACAAATCATTAAAAAAATCCCTGTCTCCAGTACAGCTTATATTCTAGTACAGAAAATACAATAATAAAAAAGATACAGTGCTTGTTAAGAAGGGATAAGTGTTAAAAGAAAATGAAGAACAAATAGGAAGTGAGAAAGCAAGATACTCTAACTGGAGGAAGAGCATTCCAGAGAGGAAATGAGTGAAAGGGACCCAGGGGCCTGAGGTACAAGTAGGACTTGGTTGGGAAATACAAGAGGCCAGCTTTCATTGGCCTGAGTTGTTTAAAAACAAAAACAGAAGCACTAGACTTTCCCTAGAAACACAAATTGACATTAAATCTTAGCAAACACCTAACGAACCTCGCCACCAAGTTACAAGGGGGCAGAAAATTATCTTTTTGGTTGGTATAACATCAAAATACAAAGAAAAAGACAGCATTTACTCTCTAAAGCTGTGAAACCATACCTATCCTTGGCCTTGGAGTCCAGTCACTAGAGCTTGCATGCGAGGCTCTATCATCCTCATCACTTTCACATGAATGAAAACCATTCGTGATTATTTCATCACGAAACAGGTTGTCTGCAAAAGAAACCAAATGTAATTCAAGGCTGCTGAAACAATCTGCATCTAAAATGTATGAAGCTCTGTAATGGTTATGATGTACTGATTTTCACTGAATAAAACACTTAACATCCTACAGTCTGTGTAAAGAATGCCTACTGGGTCAGCTTGCATGGTTCATGGGCACAGAACATCCTCATCTTCAGGGATTCTAACCACAATCTAAAAGTTTCAGTTCATCAAAAATCTAGATATAATTTAAGTCTACTATTTCCAAATACAAAAAGCAGTAATCTAGACTAAATTTATCAATCACAAAATAATGAAGCTTGTAAGACTTGTCAAATATTTACCAAAATAAAAAGCTGTCGAAATGAATCCACAGCAATTTGCACTTCTCTAAGCCTAAGGATAGCTTTGCCTTATTCGTTTCCGCGTTTAACTTTCTTAAAATGAGAAGTCTTTTGACGAATACAGTCCCTAATGTATATGTTTCTATATTCGGACCAACAGCCCTCTGATTAGATTTACTGAGGCAAATATTGATGGAGACGCACATCTATCCAGGCCAGAAACTCCTCAAATCGAAAATAAAATGCCCTCAAGGATGACCTGACATATACAACTATCACAACTGATTTACTATACCAGAAAAAGGTCAATTCATGTTTCACGGTTACATACACACAACAGAAAATTATTCCTAATCTAAAAACTGTTAGAATGTTAGAGGAAAAATACTATTCATGTAAAGTACTCTAAAAAGTACTATTACTCTCCCATGCCCACTACTAATTGCACCACGGAACGGTTTTTAGAAACAGCTGTGCTCTTGAACATTTAAGACAAATATAAAAATTAAGATTCTCGGAAAAAAAAGAGGCGTCACAAATTTGTGCAGGTGTCGGTTTGCAAAAGGTCGATGCAAAAAGTCAAAAGTTGCAGATTTAAGTGTGCTGGGTTGCGGGGTGAGGGGTGGGAATGATGTTTAACAAGAACGAAATACTAAAAGGTTAGGAGGAGAAAAGAAACTTACTCTAAAAGCTGCAAAAGCTTCGCAGCCCGGCAGCTGCGCAGAGCGCCAGGCCGCCCGGGCGGGCCGCCGACGAGGGGAAGGCGGGGCGGGGAGCGGGAGGGAGAGAGCCCGCGGGCCGCTCCCGCAGCCTCGCAAGCAGCCTCGGAGGCCCGCAGCTGAGGGCAGCAGTAGGGAACGGGACGTCGCGGAGCCAGCCTTGCGCCCCCACCCCACGCTCCCCAGACACCCCCAGCCCCACCCCACAACAGAAGGGGCCCTGCGAGACGGCAGAGAGGGGATGCGCAGTGGCCGTCGCCCGCGTCCTGCGTACCTCGGTACCCAATCTCCGCCGCCGCCTCTTCCTCCTCCTCTCCTTCTTCGTCCTCATCCTCCTCGTCGAAGTCGTCGGCCGGCGGCGGGTCCCGGGATAGGCCCCGTAGGCCTGGCCCATTGTCTCCTAATCCGCCTGCCATCGCCGGGGCCTCCCGTTCTCCGCCCGCCGCCGCGGCCGCCGGGCCGTCCCCGGCCACCGCCAGCACCTCACGCTCAGGGGCTGTCCCATCGAGCTCGCCCGGGCTCCACCCGAGGCCGGGGACGTCTCTCCGCGGCCTCTTGCTGAGAGGTTCCCCTGTGGGCGGCGACGCGGCCTCCCACTCCGCCGCCACAGCCGAAGGGGAGCCGCCGGGCTGAAGGGCGAGCGCCGCCTCGTCCGCCATCTTCAAACTGCCTCTCTTGCCCTCCTCCCTCGCCTCCTCTCCTCCCGCTCGCACTCGCGGCACTGGCGCCCCCGTGGCTCCGGCTGCGGGAGATTTAAACCCGGTCACGTGACCCCCGCTGCGGCTCCCCCGCCTTCCCCGGGTCTCCCGCCACCCCAGCCGGCGCGACCACAACAGGGCAGGTCACGTGGCGGGCGGAGGCAGCGGCGCTGGCCGGGAGCGAAGCCTGACTGCTGCAGCCCCACCGCTTGGCCGTGGCCGGGTAGTGCAGCCAAACTCGCCCCTTTCTCAACTTCTCTTTCCTGCTGTCCTGAAATCACTGCCGCTGGGGTGGCTCAAGGTTTGTTTCCAATTGCGTGTTTTCACTTCTGTCACACACCTTGTTGGCTCCAGATTTAAGCCAAGGGTTGAAAACGTAATCCGCGAGAGGCGATAAGGAATGAAACTGGCTAAGGTTACGCTGGATATATTCACTTGGTCTTGTTGACAGTTGAATAGAGGCAAAAAGACACTCCTCACTCTCTTCACACCATTCTGACAGCTCCTTCCGTCAGCTCCTCCTCCTACGCCTTGCTTCTCTTAGCTGATTTTCTCCCTACTCCCGATCACTGATAACAGTGGATTTTCAACCTGTGTGCTGCAAGATTTTTTGACACATGCAATTCCTATTTTGTCAGGGGCATTGACTTCTTTTCTCTGAGGTTGTCAAATTAAAAAATGGCAACAGCCAACGGGACAGTAGCCATCCTGTGCAAACTAATCGAAATTACACCAATTTCTTGTCAGATTGGCAAAAAAAATTTTTGGTTGTGTTGCAGAATTTGTTTTTAAAGATTTTATTTACTAATGTTTAGAGAGAGGGGAAGAGAAGGACAGAAATATCAATGTGTGGTTGCCTCTCACGTGCTGCCTACTGGAGGACCTGGCCCGCAACCCAGGCATGTGCTCTGACTGGGAATCAAACCTACAACTCTTCGGTTTGCAGCCTGGGGTCAATCCACTGAGCTATGCCAGCCAGGGCGTGTCGCAGAATTTTAATAATTAGTTTATGTGTGCCAAGAAATGTAAAAGGTTGAAAATCATTGACTTAGAGGATAGTGTGCATTGTCAAGTCTGTAAAAGCATGTGCCCTCCTTCCAGGGACTCTTGACCTGGGAGGATGTGAATCAGCCAATCTGCTTTCTGGCTCCAATTTGGCTCCAAATGTTTTGAGTGCCCTTCTGTGTGGTCTTCGTAAAATGGGTGCCAGAAGAGCACGGAATGAGCAGGATGTGGTCCCTGGATACAGTAGGGTTTGAATTACAATTTCAGATCCTTCCTTTCTAGCTTGAGCGATTTATTTAGACTTTCTAAACCCATTGGTAATAATAGGGGAACTCAGAAGTTACAGATTTTAAACTTAGTTGATAGGCTTAAGTGATTAATGCATGTGGAAAGCTGTTATTCCAGGAACTAAAATGCAGGACCTAAGTGACTCTAGCAGATTGACAAGCAGTCCAACCTTCTTGCCCCAGGAGGTCTGCAAATGGTGGAGATGGTGTCTGAGTTGTTAGTCAACAGATAAAGAAGTACTAGGAAAATTGCCGGGGACTGTAAATCTGATTAACATTTTCCCAAACCCCTTACATACCCATTCTTCTCCTTATAAAAAGATCAGCTTGAGATGAGATGTTAAGATGGTTTTTCAGGGTGCATAACCTGCCATCCTCTCAGAGCTTTGGCATCTGAATAAAGTGCCCCTAAAGATTCAATCCTTGTCTCTACTTATTGGTTCTGGTAGCGTCTGCAGCACAAATGCTGACTTTTCCAGTTTTAATAATACTATACCTGTTTTGTAGGATTTATAGTGAGAATTAAGTGAGATAACCAGATGTAAAGTGAGGGGTACATAGTAGCTCAAAAATTAGTTTCTTCCTTATTTGAACCCTCTCTAATTTGTACTTTCCCTGAAATTCCAGGATTCTGTCATTCCATGTCCAGCCTTAACTAAGGCCCTGCTTAATACTTGGCAGATCTAGAGCCAGTGCTTGGTAAGGCATCTGCCTCTGAAGAATGGCAATTCTATCCCCTTAAAGTACCTCTCCAAGCTTATAATAAACCATCCCTTGACCTTAACATGTATGAACTTAAAAAAATTACAATGTATGAAATGTATGTCTAAGATCCCATCTAAGTCTTTGTACCTGAATTAAACTGAGAATCTCCCCATAAAAATGGTCACTTTTCATTTCTGAAAGTGATGATCTCTTTTTCCTGGAACCATCTTTGAAGTGTGCCTTCAGATTGATGCTTTCTATCCAATCAGTAACCAAATCCTGTTCTTTTCTCCTTCCCACACTCTCTCCGATACCTAACTTCATAGGCACTTTACCCTTCCTGGTGGCATACTTGGCCCTGTTCTCTTTCCACCTTATCTTATCCTACAAAATATTTTTTAAGATTCGTAAAATTTATTTTTAGAGAGAGGGGGAGGGGGAGAAGGAGAGAGAGAGAGAGAGAAACATTGATCAGTTGCCTCTCACACACCCCAACCCAGGTACCTGGCCTGAAACCCAGGTAGGTGCCTCAACTGGGAATTGAACCAGCAACCTTTTGGTTCCTGAGACGGTGCTGAGCTCACTGAGCTACACCAGTCAGGGCCCTGCAAAATATTTTACAAATGATTCTAAACAACACTAGTGGGGCATAATATATGAAATGTTGAGAGTCAGTGTACCATCAAAATAGAAATGAAATTCCCACCTTTTTTTTGAAAAAGATGTTAGCAAGCTTATGGGCATTCTTTTTCTTCCTTCCTTCATTCATTCTTCATGCCTTCATTTTTATATTCATTCCTTCTCCAGGGTAGATGTGGAGATATTTTGGGTTGTCATAACTCAGGGGAGACTGTACTACCAGCAGATGGAGAGACTCAAGGTATACTGCTAAATGTTCTACAATGCAGAGGACAGCTGCCCACAACAAAGAATTACCCACCGTTACTCTGTCTACAGTGTCAGAGTTGAGAAACTCTGTCTTAGAGTTTCAAGCACACAGGGAAGGTGGTACTGGTTGGACTCTAACCGAGAAAGATTTCCTAAGATATGAGGGGGCAGGCTTTTATTAGCAAGGCCAGGTTGCAAAGTAGCATAGGCAGTGATCTTAAAATTTTGGTATTTAGCAGCAGAATCCATTTGTTGAATGATCTCAGCTTTATCACAAAATGTAAATACATTTCTTTTAATAGCAAAAGGACTTCCACCAATCAATGAGAAAAAGATTGATAGCCCAGGTGAAAAGGTAGAGTTCAGTTCACCAAAAAGGAAATGTTAAGTGGCTTTTATACATGTAAAAGATGTAAAACTTCTTTCATTGTAAGAGAAATACTTATTAATATATAATGAGATATCATTTTTCACATACCAGAGTAGTAAAGAACCAAAATTTGATCATATCTTGCATTGGCAAGGATGTGAAGAGCCAGGCCCACTTGTATCAGGATAGTAGGAGTATAAATTTCTGCCCTGTGTAATGCAAATTTGGTGCTATCAAGATGTAAAATGGATGTTCCATATGTACAAAATGACATATATACAAGCATTGTCATTGTGCCATGGTTTATACTTGCAAAAGGTGGGAAATGTACTAACTGTCCATTAATGAAGAACTGGTTAAACATATCACCAGTACATGTGTTTATATGTGCATAGATTACCACTTAAACTCAGGAAGTGGGTGACAGAAGTTGCTCCTAGGGAGAGCAAATGGGAAACTGAATGACAAAGGTATAAAGATTTATGTTTACTACAAAACCTTTTAAGCCTTTTGAAGTCCTCACCATATGCATCATTACAAATCATACATGCAGGCATTCATACATCATGCATTACAGGCACAGTCATCCCTCAGTATCTTTGGGGGATTTGTTCTAGGACCTTCCACCTCACCCTACTGTGGATACCAAAATTCTCTGACATGCAAGTTCCTTATATAAAATGGCCTAGAATAGCCCTGGCTGGTGTGGCTGAGTGGATTGAGCACCAGACTGTGAAGCAAAGCGTCGCGGGTTCAATTCCTGGGCAGGACACATGCCTGGGTTGTGGGCCAGGTTCCCTGGTGTGGGGTGATGTTTCTCTATCTCTTTCTTCCTGCCTTCCTCTCTGTTTAAAAATAAGTTAAGTAAATAAAAAATTTAAAAAATACTTATTATTACATAAAAAATAAAGTAAAATGGCCTAGAACAATGCATATAGTTGTTTCTACCATGAATTTGAAACCTGTGGACATGGAGAGCTAAAAGCAAGGCTGTTCTGGTTGAAGTAGACTCCCTGAGTTTTTACCACGGCATTTCTCAAGACATCACTGAGGTGATTTAGGGTCCCAAAAGAACGTAGTAAAAGCCACTGTCATAGTTGTGGTAGGGTAGACTAATTGCTGTAATAAATAATCCAAAAATGCCAATGGCTAAATTCAACAAAAGTTTATTTCTCACTTATACAACAATCCTTCAAGTTGTTCTTGGTCAAACAACACTTTGGGTCAACTTTCCTTTAAAAAAGTGATCAAGAGACCCTTGTTCCTTCTCTGTTGTAGCTCTGCCATTGGACAGGTAAAGGAAATGTCATATCTGTTGGAAAGTTTTATGGGCCAGTCTGGAAACTCACTATTACCACTTCTCATATTAATTGTCTAGGAACCAGTCATGTGGCTACACACAAGAAAGCCTGGGAATTGTACCATTGAAGGACACAGACTGGAGTTGAGGGCAAACAGAAAACAGTGACCAGCACTAACACGTGATCTAGCTCTGTGTCAGTTTGTCAGCTGGATCCAGCCATTATAAGTTATGAAGGATCCATCTCTTTAATGGTGTTTTTTTGATGAACAGAATTATTCATTATAATGCAGACTAATTTATCAATCTTGTCTTTTATATTGTGTTGTTTTTATTGAGATACAATTAAAATATAAATTGTATTAGTTTTAGATGTACAACATAATGATTTCATATATGTATATATTGGGATGATTACCAGAATAAGTTAACATTAATCACTACACAGTTACCAATTTGTGTGTGTGTGTGAT